TAGAGAGATATACAATATGGGGAACGTCACTCAAAGTGTCAATAATGAATAAAATTCTGAGAATATCAGTAATACAAAATATATAAAATTATACAGTTGGAAAGGTCATGTTTTTAGGAAACTCGTTTTATTCTGATCCAACAAACAAGCTGACGATAAATATCGTCAGTTATAATTAAATTAATTATTGTTTCGTTTTATAAATTGCTTTCATATATAAATATTATAAATAGCAAGAAAACAATTTACAAATAACTTTTAGCAGAATTCTTCATGCGATATATTGCAAGAAATATATCAATATTTCAGTAAATTAAAGTAAAATTTTAAGAAAATAGAATTTTAGTTTGGATTAAAAGATAATCTTAAGGTAACGTTTTAAATTAAAAGAAAATCTTACCTAAATTCTTTGCACATATTTTTCAACGATTTACAAAGGAAGCTCACAACGATATTGATATACTGTATTGATATTGCGCAAAAGTGAATTTCAATTAATATATTTGCAAAATTTGCACTGAAACATTAAATCGTCACAAATCCGATGTAAACGAAACAAACGCGCGACAACGACTGGATTCCAATCCACTGGACTCTCGCTGACACCAGACAGAACGAGTACGTGAGTGGAGTCGCACGAAGTACGTCGGTAAGTACCGAAGGTGGCCGAAGTTTCATTTGAAAAACTGATTGTCGTAATACTGTGAGTTCCTTCACTTGTAAACTTTACTATGTTTAAATAAACACTATACAATTTTAAACAGATTTCGCCGTTTTTAAATTACATTATATAGATAGATTTATATACAATACTTTTTTAAATTTTTACTTCAAAAAATTTATTCATTTCAAGCAATTTTGAATATACGTAAAATATATATATATTTATATAAGAATTTCAAATCTCTCAGGTCTTTTCAAAGGATTTAACTCTAGAACAACATATCTTGGTCCAGAGTTGCTGAGACTTGGCAAAAAAAAATCAGTTATAGTTTAAAGATTATAAATCTGAAGGACATAATATAGCGTTTGAAAGAATTAGAAATTATACAGTGTATATAGTCAAAGATTTTACATGACTGAAGTATTATTTATGATATACACGAAAATTTAAAAAATATAGTCTTTTTCATAAATAATCTCTCAAAAATAAGTTCTTTTAAAATATCAAACAGTACTTAAGAAACATCTTGTATACGATTCATTCTATATATCTTTTGTTAATAAAATGGATTATTAAATACGATCATGATTGATAAACAAAACAAAAGTTCTCGGGGCACGTAATACGATTTATCTCAACAAAATGTTCAATTTATTGAAATTTCCAAGTGACTTCTAATTTACTAAATGATATATATAATTCCAATAATTTATTAATAAAATGTTCGAGCAACATAAAATCAAATCGCGTAAAAAAATATCTAGAAACCATTACTGTGAAACAGCAATAGAATCTAATAACCTCTTCTTATCAAACGTCAATAGCACTGCGTGAGTAATATAAACGAATAGATGAAACAATGAAATGTGTGAACAAAACTAACATTTATAATAATAACATATAATTTTTTATTACACAATTTAAAAAATATTTTATTTATATTATAAATATAGAAAAATTTTATTTAATTTTATAATTTACTTTTTAATTTTTCTTTCAGATGCTCTATCAGGAAGTCAAAATGTATGTCCCCAACTATTTCATCAGTATCAAACATAAATTATAAATCTACAATGATTGAACAGCCACAATTTATCACAAAAGCGCCTAAAAATGTAGCAATACATTTTGGAAATTTTTATGGTCTTTGGAATGATGTAGAAAAAGTATGTTGCAATAATCATTGGAATAATCATTTTACAAAAGAAAAAACAGCGATGATTAAGAGACTACACCGATTAGAGTTTACTAGGCAAATGGTGCATAGGTAAAAAAATCTATCTGCTATAAAAGTAATAATAAAAAATATTTGTAAATTTTATTCTGATAAAAAACTTTTTTTGAATTGAAAATTTTTCTTTGCCAGATTGGAAAAAGCAACTAACATGGAAGATTACATGCGACAAGTATCGGTTTTTTTAAAGAAGACAGTAGAGCCACCCAACTTTAAATTGAATCAACTTCTACCTAAAAATTCAATTCCTAACGGAATTCAAAGTTCTTCGGATTATCCACTCTGGTACAAGGAGCCTCATAAGTTATCATTAGTGTTCTCAAATCCTATCGCTCAACTTAAAGCATAAACATTTGAAGAATCTGTTTCAGTCAATATAATATTTATTAATATAGAAAGATTTATAATAGCTGTAATTAAAGAATATCTGCGCAAATGAAATCATATTATTTTTTATGGAATCGTTTAAAATTTCTACATAGACTTATTGAAGATTCGTATACGTTTTTTCTCTTAAAAAATATAAAAAATATAAAAAAATATAAAGTATATTTTTTCTGTTTTTTACTTTTTCAGGATTTTTGATTTCGACTTTATCAATCAAAATACTTCTTTCGAAATCGTTATTTGTTACAACATTTGATATAACCATAAATAATCTATCCTTCGCTCTAAAAAAACATAGTAATTTTTTTTAATGTTATATCGATTCAATTATTGAGTATTGTCCAAGTTGCAAAGTCGCGAGACAGAATTCATCGGTATTCATTCTGGCGTGCTAATTAAGAGTCGTGGTCATTAGTTTGCATAATGTTATGTCATAATTAAGCGTTGCCGGACTATTATGAATCCCACTGCTAGAATAATTAATTAGGTCTAGAATCATAAAGATATACACGTGAAACCATAGTTAATTTAAGTTTTAAGTGATGGACAACCGGAAATTCTCCATGTTGTAATTCACGACTGTATTTGATTCATTATTACATATCACGAATTTTGTATAGGGACATGTAATAATGAGATATAGTATTACGTAAAGAAACAAGGAAAACCCGCGTAACCTGAAATTAATATTCCTAGTATGAAAAGATAAAAAGGATAAATTAATATAATTAAAAAAATGATTGTGTGAAGCTTGTTTCTAAAAAAAAAAACAAAGGCGCCGATGTTATCAAAAGATACCGGCATACCTATTGTTTTCGCTTCAATGAAAATCCAAGGGGAGATGCACGATAGGGTGGTACTTATCGATTATTCCGTCTACCAGCGTAAAGACGAATTCCATGTATCTTTAACGAAAGCATCCAACTACCAAACAGGGATGTCAGAATCGCGTTGGATAGATGTGTTTGTTTTATTAAAAGCGAATCCTATATTGATGGCTCGAGGAGTATGTTCAGCTGTGACTTTAACTATAAATCGTATAAAGTATAGCGATTCAAAGCAATAAAACGAGTTTTTACTATTTATTTGACATTTAATCCTATCGTCGTTAATTTTCTTTGTTATCTGTAGGTTATATCTACTCGCCAAAGGAATAAGCATGTAAATGTAAACACAGCGTGATAGTTCGATAATATTTGAAAGATTTTCGTATATATTATACTTACTGCCTTAAACTAATCATGCATCAAATTTCGGAATATGTAGTCAGTGGCACAAGAACGTCGTTAGCAGTTTTCTCTGAAAGTATTCGAATATCTTAAAAAAAAAAAAAAAAGAATAGTTATATTTTAAAAATTTATTAATAAATATTATTAATAAATATGCAATATACGGGAGCCCCCTCAATGACTTTGACTTTGATATTATCAAGATCATCGCCCTGAGTGACCTTGAGGAAGTTTTAGCCGTTGGACGTTACTCGTTAAAGTTATAAACAAAAAAAGTTTAGATTATTAAAAAATAACGTCTCATTTCTGCTATATAAAACCAAAATTTTCTGCTTTAAAATGAATTTCCTGCTTCATTATTTTGTTATATAATTTTTATTCTAAAACAGAGAATTTATAGTTTTTTGCAACGACTCTTCATTTAAAATAAAACTTGTACTAAAGTCATCGCATGAAAAGTCGTTACTTACAATGATCGAATTCATGCTTTTTTCGACATTATGAGTTCCATGTATTCATTTCATGCTAATTAAATTTCTTTGCAAATTAATATTGATTACGTTTTATTTTCTTACTGAACAAGGTGGCTGTTATAATACAGTATATGTGTGTGCTCATTATAGTGTATGTAGAGTAAAGCAGAAAAAACATTTTCTACTTAACAAATATTATAACAAATATTATATAAGAAAATCAAAAATAACAAATATTATAACAAATATTATATAAGAAAATCATGTTTTTAAACATGATTTTTTTAAACATTTTCTGCTTAACAAATATTATAACAAATATTACATAAGAAAAGCAGGAAATTTTGGTTTTATATAGTAGAGAAATGAGATATTATTTCTTAAACTTTTTTTGTTTATAACTTTTTAACGACTAACATCCGACTAAAACTTCCTCAAGGTCACTCAGGGCGATAACAATATATGTCAAGGTCATTGCGGGGGGGAGGGGCTCCCCTAAACTGTATATTTATCAACATATTATATTTACTAAAAAAATGCATTTACTTAATATCATATTTTACTAAAAAAAAAAAAAAATGCATTTACTTAATATAGTGCCCAATCATTATTAATGATTATAGGTTGTCACAAACATTTATTTTTAAACATTTATTTTCGCATTTTCAAAAGATTTTTACCTAAAACTCTGGTCAAAAATTACGTGGGAAGTATATGCTTTATAACCACAAGCTATAATCAATTAATAAATGATTAGACTAAACAAAAGCATTTTAGTAAACGTAATGTATCTTTAAAATGTAACTTATTAATTTTTAATACATTTAATTTCTTTTAAAGAACTGCTGATGACGCTTTTGTGTCACTGATCTTAATTTAAATATAAATACAAATTGTGCATGTGCAATATACAGTGATTAAAAAAAAACGTTTAAAGAATTTAGAAACATATAGGACTAAAACTAGACAAAAATGTGCATATGTAGATATTCGTATATACATAGATTTATTCTTTTCCTGTAAACTATACAGCATGGTCCACGTGATTAAGAATCGTTTAAATAAATTAATGACTATTAAAACCATTAAATGATGAAATATGTATATGTGTGAATGTAACATATATACCTTTTATAAACGTACATAAAATTTTGTAGATATTATTTTGTATAGTGTGAAATGGTAATTGCAATTCGGGATGTACAATGCCGCTGAAATCACTCAGTTTCATAAAAAGTTTTAGTTGCCTTTTCAATTCTTATATTAATGAAACTATTACTGGCAACCGGCTTTAAAGATGTAAAAATTGCACCATTGTCGATGATTATGTTATGAATATTACCTTGATATTGAATCAAACTGAATACAGTACAATACAACAATATGTATTTTTCATATTTGATATATTCTACTGTATTCCATATAATATGAATGACAATTCATTCCTTTCGTCAAAACATGTTGACACAATTAGCTCCCGTCTGATAAATATTTTTGAGGCCTTCCCTAGGTCTTCTTCCATGAGTAATACATTTCCAAAGGTCGATTGACACGCCAGAATTTATCGTTCACTTGTCGTAACGTTTGTGAGCCACTCAATACCACAAGCTGCCCAGGTGAAGGTGCGATATAGATACAAAAATTTAACAGCCTATCTGATTCTGATAGTTCAGTATCCAAATCCAACGTTAAACGCATTGCTAGATATTTACTTAAATGGTCCACTGTGAAAACAAATAATTTATTATGCCATACTGAAAGTTCATTTTTCCATTCTATAATTTAATGTATATTTATATTTATAATATTTATTAGCTTTTTCAAGTAAACAATTTTTTCTCTTAATTATATGTTTGCAAGATATCTTACCTGTGGCATTTGCTGTTGTTTTTATATAGCGAATACTGTTCTCTTTCAACGCTTTTATTAAAGAATTATCACCTGCCATTTCTGTAGGGTGTGGTTTAAAGACTAGTTCAATTTCATTAAGCATCAATGGTTCACTAGGACCTTCACCTTCTGTGTCAACCATAGAATCACCACCGCCAGTCTCGGCTTCTGCACTAGAGGAATCATTCTCAGAATTTTGTAGACTTTTCTGCCGTTTTGATGGTTTTGAGATTTGATTTGCAGGATTTGGCGACGGTGTAGTAGAGTTTCTAGATGTTGTTCCTAGATAAATGTACATAAAAATAACTGATGTAATAAAAATTACAAGTTTATACAAGCTGTTATAAACTCAGTAGAAATTGCAGTTTTTTCTAAATTGAAAAACAATATCGGTACTCATAAAATTAATTATACCTCCACTATTTAAAGGTCCTGTCGCACTTTGAGAGGAATCACTTTGATTTGCTACATTTGTAGACGGATTTGGTGTTGTAGGTGCACTAATATTTGGTGTATTGTTATAAGATGTTGCATTGCTTGCATTTTCAGATTCGTTGGCATTCTTTCTGGAACGCTGTGGACGATTCTGACTTTGTAACTTAATACCTTCTGTAATAGAGTTAACAAGTGCAGCTTGCGAATGTGACTTATTCAGTTTAGCCAAAACTCGTTCCTGATGAGCCTCATATTCGTCTCTGCTCGGATAAATTTTTGAGATTAGCAAATCAAAGTTTGGATCCGGTCTGAGAGATCTTTTAGAAACCAATTTCTTCCTGCATGTAGGGCATTCCTTTTTTTTAAAAATAATTTATTATAGATAACACAAACAAATTCATGTATTTCAATATAAAATACTACTACTTATAGAAAAACAGTATTTATTTTTATTAAAAATATATAAAGTTCTTGCACACAGCAAGTACATATATATATAATTTTGTTACACCGGTTCAAACTAATTAATATTTCATTTATCATATGACGAAGTTTTCAAATATATTGATTGTGTATGTGATTGTATGATAATCACTGGATACATATGTTCTTGAGTTTCTAAAAATTCTCTATTTTGTAGCCAATCATGCGAGTAGAAAATTCATGCTACGATAAATAAAATATTAGTCTTATAGATAAATAAAATACATTGTAGCAAAAGTATTGCTTTCCAAATAAACAAAAAATGAATGACAGACTGCATATACATACTTTATAGTACATACATATACAAATTGACAGGTAAATAACATTGCATCTTGTAGAAAAAATATGGAATAATATTATCCGCAACATTGTAGATATAAATTTGTTGTATTATGTCAAGCACATACTTTGTTACCGCTCCGTAAAGCCGTAATAATACAGTCGGAACAAAAACGGTGGAGGCACTCCTTGGTGGTCATCGTCTTTTTCAGCATATCCAAGCAAATGGGGCACATGAGCTCGCTGTGCAAACTCCGCGGACTGACCGCAATCTCTGTGTTGTCGGTGATCGCATCCTGCGGAGTGCGATGTAATTCGTAAAGCGATAATTCCCATGTTTTATTGAGGCCGACCTGTTCCGCAGATGCCATCTTGGATAATTGGATTACATTCAACATACAGAGTATAGAAAATTGGAGACTCGCTCTTAGAAAAAAATTAAATCCTATTTCTGCGCCATCTGAGCGAATAGACACAGTTTTGGGAACTAAATTGTAGGGCCGGTATTCATAGTCGGTTCTTATTTCAAAACCGTCTTAAGTAAGGTCTTAATACGCTAATGCGGCTCTCTTATTGGTTCGTGACACCTCAAGGCTGAACTTAAGACGATTTTGAATATAAGAACTGACTATGAATGCCAGCCTAAGATTCTCCTACTCGGTCGATAAAGTGGTCAAATGAGCCATTAACAGGCCAAAATGATGAACTCTACTTCGAATTTTTTTAAATTTTAGTGTCAAAGCATCTATGAAGTGCTTTGGCAACATCGAAATGGAGTTCATCGCTTTGACCTGTGAATAGCCGAAATGTGGAATATTTTTTGTTCAATAATTGTACACTTTCGAGTAAATAAATAATAACAGTTGCAAACGTGATATTTGAATCGTTTATATTATACATAAATTATTCATTAGATAGTAAAAAATAATTTCTAACATATTTTATTTTATATAATACAGTCTTGGCCAAAAATATTTGACACCTCATTAAGCATTATATACAGTTTTAACTGAAAAATTGGTTTACGGCATTTTCCTGTAAATTATCCTTTGTTTCCTAGATAAATGCTTAATATCTTTGGCCAAGGTTGTATTTATGTTCTAAAACATAAATACAAAAAACATCTACATTTTTCCCCCTTCTCTCTCTCTCTCTCTCTCTCTCTCTCTCTCTCTCTCTGTCCTTCTCTCCAATATTTACTATCAATATTGAAATTCTACAGTATTACGTGCATTGTAGATTTTTAATTTGTAATTTATTCAGGCTACAGTCCATTTGATGTTACAAATGCTTCAAAGCATTTTTTGATTAGTCAATCAATAAAATTCTTTCTTCTAATTGGTCAATCAAATGCTTCGAAGCATTTGTAATGTCAAGTGGACCACATCCTTATTTAGTAGCAAAATAGAAATATAACTATAGTATAATATTATTACTGAATTATATTACTATACTATTACTATTCGTTCTGTGGAGACAGAAGCTGAAAAATAAGAGAGAGAGAGAGAGAGAGAGAGAGAGAGAGAGAGAGAGAGAGAGAAAGAGGGAGAGAGATACTTAAAATTACTATTAAGATTATATAAAATGCTTATACATGGCCAGCGATCCAATATTAAAAAATTCAAAGTTTTTTCCGGTTTTCCAGGATTCAAGGTTCACTACCCTGTTATATTTCCCACATAGCAAAGAATTGGTTCAGGACGCATTCATAGGATTTTTGAAAGTCTCAGGAACACTCAGGATGTCCTTTATATATATATATGTTCATAAAAAATTAAGAAATGTAAAAAAATTTAATGATTATAATTTTTTTTATGTTATAATTAATAAAATAATAACACTACTATAATAATAATTAAATTAATCAAGAAGAATTAGTATTTTTTTATATTTATGATGTATAATATTCATAATTGTTTCGAATTATTGTAACTTTTATATTTTAAAAGATTAAGAAGACTCAATACCTAAATTTTGTAAATATATTGAAACATGTTCTTCTTTAGATATACTTTAGATATACTTTTTCTTTAGATATACTTTTTAATGCAGATTTTATTTTTGTGCAAAATGTAGAAAAATATACCTTTTGTTTTTCAGTCACATTCTTCATTTGCAAATGTAAGAAAATTTTTTGTGTATTGCTCAATGCTGAATAATTTTTCCGAACAGTTAAACTAGTACACTTTTTAGCATCCTTTAATCGTTTGTAATTAATAATGTTCATGCGTAAAATATTTTTTTGTTTTTTAAATAATCTGCTTTTAATATATATTTTTCTTGCTACTGAAGTCAAGTTGTCCTTTCAAGTAACACTATCAAGTATATTACAACAAACATGGCTTGTGAAATGAAAACTTCTGTTTGGAGTTCTTACAATCTCTGGTTGTGTTTCTTGTCGTGTCCTTTCTTCAATATTTACATTGTTACATGGTTGTGTTTCTTGTTGTTTCTCTTCTTCAATATTTACATTGTTTTCCAAAATAGCATTTTCTTCTTTAACTGCACTATTACTTATAAAAGATTTATAAATATCAAGAAAAGATGGGGTTGCAACTGTTTCAGTCATTTCATCATATTGTGTGTCCATTTCAAATGTACCTTCTTCTAGAATTGTACTTGTATTACACTGAGAAATATCTGTTTCATTTACAGTAATTGACAAATTCCGAGTTGGAATAGCGTCATACTTCAATCGTCTACGTTGTATAGTAAAAACATATGAATTTTTGTCAAAATGTAAATGGCAAATTCTACAGTTTTGAATTTTTTCATCAGGTAGGTTCACAGATATTGCTTCTACCCATTTTTCCCTTAATTCCTTATTTTTTGGAAAATAATGACCAGGAGCTCTAGCAGGAGATGTACAACCTGGGATGATACATTTCCAAGTTATTCTATTGGCCATTTTATTCTAAAACTTCAATGCTGAAAAAAAATTTTGTTATGCAAATGTTTAACATTCAAGAAATGTATTCTGTTTCATACATAATGCATTATATTAAGGTGATCCTACATGGTCAATGAGGTCATTTACACGACACCCTTAATAGGGTTTAATAACATTCGTAGTTATGAAACTGGCCAATCACAGTCGTTCCATTCTTCCGAGAAACAGCTATGATTGGCCAATTTCATAACTACGGATGTTATTAAACCCGATTAAGCGTGCCGTGTAACAGAGGTCAATGATACTGTCAGTATTAACAAATAATGACTACGTTTACACGGAACCATTTACGTTGAAGTTATAACATCGATATTATGAAACTGGCCAATCACAATCATTCCATTCTTCTGAGGAATAGCTATGATTGGCCAGTTTCAGATCACAAAATCAAGCCGTGTAAACGTAGTCACTGACAATTACTGTCAAACACTGACCGTGTGGTTGATATTGATGGATTGACATAGGGCCAGTAGCCAGTTTCACGAAGCCGATTAAGCTTAATCGATGATTAACTGTCAACCGCATTTGGTCAATTCTAAACAGCAAACGCGATTGGTCAGTTGCAATGACCGATTAAGTTAACTGGCGTTGGTGAAACTGGCCCATAGAATCTAGCGGTGATCTGGATTTTAATTTTCGAGCATTAACATCGCTTTATCAGGATCCATGTCACAGTATGTTACAATGTAAAGGCTCGTCTACACGATAAGACGTAACACGGCGTAAGGGCGCAGGCGCAAACATAAGCCCGAGGCGCAAACATAAGTCCGGACGAGAGTCCGGACTAAGAGAAATGTTCCCGTTCGTAGCGGCGTGGCGTAACGACGTAACGAAAATAAATTAATTTTATTTCCAAAGGCTAGAGCATTTGTGATTTTTGTTAATAGACTTAAGCCCAAGACACAATGCGAGAGAATAGCGATAGCGGTAGGAATAACACAATTTCAACCTATCAGAAACTGTATATTCCGATATATCCGATTTCTGATAGGTTGAAATCATGTTATCGCATTGTGTCTTGGGCTTAAGATCGAATCATTATAACTTTAACCCCGGATCTACAATAGGGTTTTAAGCCTTAAGCCATAAGAAATGGGCGAATCACAATCAATTATTCCCCTCGGATTCGACTGTAATTGGTCAGTTTCTTACGACTCAAGTCTTAAAACATCTATTGTAGATCCGGACTAATGAGTCACTGGCTAGAAAGGGATATATTGATAGCTCTAGATGTGACTGTGGGTATGAATTTAAAGATGTGATTCTCGTCATATGGCAATGTCACAAATATGACAATAAAAGGATTCGACTTGAGCTCAGGAATAAAAACATTATAAACAAGAATAGTATTTTTACGTGGATTAGAGGAGGTAGATTAGCAGTGGTTGAATCTGTATTTAACTTTTTTTAGAAGTATAGGCAAAATTATTTAGTTAAAAAAAAACTTTTTTTTGTTTTCCTTATCTGTTGGTAGTCTAAGTTTTCATAGTTATTTGTGGTTTAAGAAATATGTGCCATATAACTTAAAAGGACAGGTTGAAGGTACTCTTCTATCGTCATCCGACGATACACAGCAAAAAAATTGTATTTCCAACACTTGCACCCACGTTACGCCGGCTGTTTTCGCTCGCGCGGTTATGTTATACGTGATTACAAAGTTTGGGTCCTTAAAAATATGGACAAGGAAAATTATTATCGAGACATCACCGTGTCTCTTGATAATAATAAGGAAGGTGATAATAATGGATCAATAGGGAATAATCTGTCAGAAGAATGTGTGATATATATCCGTACATTCATTAACTTTGTGTACCCCAATACACAACTGCATATTAAAACACTGCTAGCAAATATAAAAAATCACAGCAGTTTATTTTTCACCACCTGTTTATATCAACAACAATGTTTAAACGTTCGTACGCATTCTTGGTTCTTGCGCTTGTTTTGCGCCTACGTCGCGCGTTCCCGTGTAGAAAAGCATGGCGCGGACTTCTTCAGGAGGGCCAAACTGCCCTCTTATAATGCTTGACCTTTGCTTGTAGCACTATTTTCCAAGGATACATTCCAAAACTGTTATTGGAGGAAATGGAAGGTAAATGAGCGAAAATGTACACAAGAATATGAGAGTAATTCGTTTTTTAGAACGCGTTACGATAGAATTAAGAGAATAAAAGGGAAACGAAAAGCAGAAACTGGTTATTGTACATGACTGATAATGACGCGACGAAATATTTCACTCGGTTTTGTATTATCGCTTCTTCGTAACACGTCTGTTCAAAGCAAGGTGAACTTCTTTGCCAAATTTGACGAAAATAGAATAATTTACGGTCACCCATCCGATCCACAACCCCATTCGACGGTGCTTTACCTATATGGGCTGTATTCCAAATTTACTGCCAGGGGGTCTATTCTTGAAAAGAAACGTATACGAAAGTCTAGGGAAATACTACAGTATACGTTACATATACTATAGTATTTTCCTAGTTTTTCATATATGTTTCTTTTCAAGAATAGAGCCCCTGCGCTGAAAATGTTACAGTTTAAGTTACGTGCACTATAGATTTTCAGTACTGGCAGTCAATTTTGAACACAGCCCTCATCGTACCGGACACCACTATTGCTGGATTCACACTGCATCCGATTTTCGTCGT